TTTCAAATCCACAACCAAATTTTCGTCCTTGATGTCTCGATGGATAACATTTACATCCATACATGCTTTCACAGTATGCACAACCTTTCAATAAAGGAAGGTTTAATACCAAAAAAGAAAATTATGATAACCTACCAACTGTATGCAGAAATAATTACTTTGCATATCAATTACCTGTTTGAAAAAATTTCGCGCAATTTTTTCATCCAGTGCCCCGTGTTCCGATATATAATCAAACAAGTCCTGGCATGGTGACGGTCGCTCCATCACGATCAGGAATCCATCTGATCGTTCAAACCAATCGTACATTTGGATAACGCCCATTATATTTCTACATTCCATTAGAAGGACTATCTCAACAGGCAGCTCCTTACCAATGCTAGGACTCTACAATATGTAAAGTGAAATCAATCAATCAGGTAGCTTATTGTTCTGTATAAAAGTGGTAAACATAAAATACGGACATATCATTTTTAAGCACTAACTGAAATTGATTTAAAAAAAGCATTCCACTAAAATAAAAGTCTAACCTTTTTCCATCCAGTTATGTTATTCTTTGACACGTACTTCACTGCCACTGGCAAACCGTCAATTATACGAAACCCAGAATAAACAGTCCCGAAGCCACCGCGTCCTAATTCAGGTCCAAGCTTGTACTGTTTCTTGAAACTTACATAATCATGCCCTTAAAAAATGACACTTCCTGATTAAAAAAAGAGCACACAGCAGCACTGATTATATTAGCAATAATCGATTAAATGGAACTTATGTAAGCTGTTCCTGACAAAAGCTTGCTTCCTGAATCTTATTTATGAAATCTCTGCAAGCTTGACAACTGCATGTTACCCGTCCATTCACTTTTTTCATGCAGTTTTTATTTTAACAAGCGAATTCAATTAGGCCAAACCTATGGACATATTCCTTTACGATCGCACTGTAACCTACATGCACATGGAAATAAATTTGGAGGTAAATCAGTTCTTGCAAAAATTTACCATATAAATGCGAAGAAATATATATATACATGAACACCTTTACAAATAAATATTGTATATACCTTCTTGTCCACTATCGAGGGAAGATGACGAAGATGGCACAGTCGTTGATCCGCGATTGCCAGGCTCTAATTTATGAGCGTTTTTCAGCATTTCAGTTCAGCGTTCGCAATTACTAAGACTCGAATATGTTAGATTGCAAATATGTCACACTCCCAGAAAATGAAAGTATAAATTAATATTCTGAAAACGTCAATATATGAAGGTTGGTATTCTTCAGTTACGTAACGTGGAAGACGTGCTGGTGTTCCTTAGAGAAACCAAGTTATCTGAAAACACGAAAAAATTGAGAAAATGAAAGCGGCACTACTATCTAATTGTCTACATACATCGCCGTATAATTATATCGCTATTATCAGTATCAGTAAGCTAATTTCCTTATGGAAGCAGTTGGCCTAGTAATTTTTTCAGTAAATAAGGGTAAAACAGAGTAATGGCGAACAGCATCAGGCCGCTTGTGTCAAGCAGTACGTCAACAATAAAAATAGGTATAAATGATAATGGAATCAGAAGATATTCAGATGACGGCCTTATGAACAGATGAGCAGTGTCTGTAATGAATGGAAAGGATGAAGAAATGTGTCTAATGATATCTATGGGAGAAGTGTGGCGGGGGCGGTAACAGAGCTAGAAGAGGTCGCGGGTCGATGGCGGTGGGAGTATGGAATGGAACACAACTTGGCTATCTTCAAACAAGTTGAAAGAAAAGCCCTTGGCACAGACCCAAAACTTTTTTTTTCGAAAAAGCCTTAGAAAAATTCCTTCCAGTTAGGTTGCCAACATGAGAGAGAAGGGCATGCGAGAGAGGAAAAGGAAATGGAACGCTCCCATAAGTTCAAGCGCCATGGCCCTTCGTGTCAGTGTAACTGTTGTAGCAAAAACAGAAAAAAAAGAATAAGGCGACTGCTACCTCTGCCATTGCCGCTCTGTTCTCCTGTGGAAACACAACAAGGCCTACCACCCTTCTTCTCTGGTTTGTCGTCGTGTTTCCACAGAGAGCGGGCGGGCGGCCGCAGGGGAGAGATTGCGTCAGACGGCTGGATGGATGTCCATAGCCAAGCATAAAAACGAAATGAGCTACCTATGGGGATTGATGCTCCATTCTGCTGCCTTATTTTTTTTCCCCACCGGAAGTGTTATTGTCCGACGGAGGCCACTTTCCGGACCCTTTCCAAATCTGAAGGAACGAAAGGAAGGACAGCCGAGGGCGTACAGTTGCCGTTCCAATTCTTCATTGTTAACATTTACATTTATTAATGAGCCAAAAGGAAAGCTGTTACCAATTTTTTACAGTCATTGTGGGAGCAGAGGGCGCATGTTCACAGATGGATATATATGTCCATCTTTTTTCCTTCGGTATATTCCGAGATGTCAGCTGAGGAATGATCCAGAAATATAACAGCTAGTAAGCCACCATATCCATGTGTTGTGTGCTGAAGTCGGTCATTTCTGTATAGCAAAGAAGAGAAGCAAATAAATGGTTTTCGGCAAATGCAATCATCCCCACTCCCAATCATTTTGTTTTGCATAAGGAACATTCTTTTAACAACAAACTGGCCTGTACAAATCTAAACGTAAAAACGACGTGGTGGCTTGAGAAGTTCCCAATGTCAGAGAAACTTTGCTAAGCGCAGCGAGTAGAAGAAAGCATTTCGTAAAATATGGAAGTTTTCAGAATTTTCATATATAATGATGTCATAAGTGTGAATACTCGTTGAGCAGTGAGTAACGATGGCAATACGACATAATAGGAAGCATTCATAAAGTTACCGGGAAACTGTAAAAGAAATGATTGTAAAGAAGTGAGCGCAACAGCGCTCACTCCAAGGCAATGGTCAGGAAGATGGAAGACTTTGGCTAAGTAAAAGGGTAGAATTTGGAACAGAACGAGGAGGTAAGGAATTCTTTGCGACGATGCACTCGGCAGCAATGACGTGACGTGCCACATACTGACATGGGGCGGGGAGTTGATTGGTGCATACGAGCGAGAATAACAAAGCTAGCACAAAAGGGAGCAAGAGGGGCAACGAGCGAGTGTGGAAAATATCTGAACGGCCAAAGCACTCCGTTCGCCACCTTCGCCCCTGCCCTTCCCAATGTCTGTCCGTCTGTTTGTACTCCTCCTTCCTCACATTTCTTCACTCTATCAATCCCTTCCGACAGACGGATAAGCCAGTCACACAGACAGGCAGACATACACATTCCAGACATTGTCCACTTCTCCCGCCCTGGCGCCGAGCCAAGTTTCCAACAGTTGATGATTTAGAAACTCTCATTTCAAAAACAAACCTAATGGACGGATGAAGCATGCGAGGCTTAAGTGTACTTCGGTTTACAAGCAGAACCACGTATGCCACACACGTCCAGACATAGTCTCTATTTCGCGTGGCACTCCGCGACGTCTACTAAAAGCGGTGCACATCAGAGAAGCGCTATTGTGTGTGGGATTGGAATGCAGCCAAAATGAAATGCGATGTGTCTGACGGCGCCCGTGAGCACGTGAATAAGACATGAGTGCTGCGTGGTGCACTTCAGACTATTCCGCCTCTCCGTCCCGTCCCGATCAGCGTCATCCTCGTCCCATAGCTCATACCTCCGGATACATTGATGACACCCCCGGCATGCATCCCTTATCATGCGTATTGATGCATTAGCATGCACATGCTTCCTCTGATTGCTCAGATGATCATGGCTGATTATTACTATTATCCTGTGAACACTAACTAAACTGTACTGTCAGTGTCGACTGATTATCACGACTCGATTTGTGAATAAGCTCATCATCCGACGCCGTGACAGACCAGTAGTTCACCACAAATGATGTCGAGTCATACGAGCGAGAAGATTGTGTGAGCAATGAGGTGGGGCGCAAATGTAGGGCATCTTATTCCGTGGCATTTTGGGAAGCTTATAGATCATCATCGCTCCTCATGAATTTCGGCAGAGGACGAGTAGAGTGACATCATAAATCAATGCAACACCAAGATCTTCCTATTTTTTTGTCTGCCTCGCCTACAATTTTTCGGTCCGTAAGAATCCCTCCGGGAGGTGACACGTTTCTGCTTCCCAACCCATACAATTACATCATGAAGTATTGATCCTTTATGAGTAATTAGTTGTTGTTGTAATACACATTACGATAACCTGCGGAAAATGACCCGACAGTTGGAAATTTCATGATGGCGTTGTTATTGGTCAAGCGGGAAGTAGTACTTTAGAGGAAGTGAAATTTGAATGGAACACTTCATTTCCATCAGATGGATGAAAATGGAGGAAGTGTAAAGATTGATTTAGAGAGAATGAAGTGGAGAGGGAGAGAGGGAGAGGGAGGGGGACCCGTTCGTTCGATACTTTTGTTCGAAAAATCCCCGATAAGGGGTGCAACAAATCGAAGGGGATGAATGTTGTTTCAGTGACAAAACAAACTCTGGTTCGGTGTTTGATTTGTGAGTGATGAGAAGCCGACGAATGTTGGCGGACGGTAGGTCGAGCATCACGGCGAATTCTCTGCTCATCTTCCGAACAAATGAATCCCAACGCGTTTCCGGTTTTCTCCTCTCTCTTTCTTTGCTTTTTACCTGTTTCCTTCCCAACCTCCCTTCATGAAATCTTCCTGTGGAGAAGGGGACTGAAAGTGAAGGACAGAAAGGTGAAAAGTAAACAAAAAAGTGGATAAGTGTTCGAATTTAGGAGAATTTCGAAAACTTGGACATATGAATGTAAGAAAAGATTGCTGAATGTCGTGTAAGATAGGTCGGCAGATATTATTTGAATGAGTGCAAATGGATATGAAGTATGTTTGATGGAGAAGCTATGCCATCTCAAATTGTTCTCTTTAGTGTTTTTGTCGCTGATCAAATAAATCATTGATCGACTGAAGAATACGGAACGGGAGAAGGAAGTGCCCGGAATCTGTAAGAAAATAGAGTGATGGGAAATGGAGTGCTCTGTTGCCGTTAGGGAATTGTGCAGTGATTCCGTTCCTAGATAAAATAAATCATCCGAAAGTTACTGAAACCAAGAGCAATATGTGCAGGAATGTGGAAAGAACACTGATTAAATGAGTTAAAGGTTGATCTGATGACACGATCTGAGCAATATCCGGTCTAACCGAATCAGTTATCTTCAAACACTTGTAATTTATATTTATTTGTCAGATAACGAAACAATGATCGAGCACACTTTTGTTACGAGAGGTATAGCAATGAGTGAGCGTCTTCAGGGTTATGATCAGTGTTCAATTATTGGACAATCAGAGGAATGATCGATCGAAAATAAGCAACAGAATAAGAAGGATGAGTGTTTAGTGTTTAGTAAGAGATTGAGAAGTAGAAGTCTTTATAAAAAATGAAATGGTTTTGCATTAATTCAGAATTGATTGGAAATGAATTCAACAAAGACACAAGCAAACAAGTAAAACATAAACTAATGAGTAGAGCGCTGATTTAACCGAGCACTTTCCCCTGTCGTATCGCCAATTATGATCTGTCGATGATCGTTCGCAAAAATTGTGGGGAAAACACGAAATTTAAAATTGAAATTCACGTGTCGTGTAAATAGTTCAAAACGGGACAAAACGGAAAAAAAAGCTCTTTAACTCTACCATCCACGTCATTTGCAAGTACTACCGTTTCAAATGAGAGCAGAGGTTATATGGGGACAACATTCCAATGAACCGATTAATCTCTCTCCCTCTCTCTTTCTCACTCTCACTACCGCTCTTCTTCTTCTCTCTCTCTCTCTCTCTCTCTCTCTCTCTGTTTAGATGGTAATTACGCAATGTGTTGTGTTTATTGTGTTCCTCAAACAATTATTCGAAGAAGGACATGATGAGATTCCCGCCTTCTTCAGTGCGGAGTACCAGTAAATGAGAGGGAACGCGTTAGAGCTGAATTTAAGAGTAAGGACGAAATGTGCAGGAAAGAAAAGAACAATGAGAGAGGAAATTTATCCTTGCTGATAAATCGCAAGATTCTCAAACAGCAGTCCGCAGTTCTTACTGCTTCATAACTTCATAACTCCCCTTCACAATGAAAATAGAGGAAAGGAGCGAGCGATCACGTCGGACTATCAACGTTAACTAATTCTTCATCACGTTCCGGATTTCTCCATCTTTTGGAATTCTCTTTAATTGAGGTATTTTTTTCCACTGACAGCATATAAGTGAACCGTAGTTCGGGGGTCTGCTCAATTAAATTAAAGTTGCAAATGCGATGTTCACCTTTTGAACAATGTAGCTATTTCAGATCGTCTCATTCCACCTAACAGTAACATTGAATTTAATCTGAGATATTGTTAATCACATTAGTCGCTGTCTACCGCTCTACCTTTGAACCAAACAATAGCAAGCCTTATTATTTTGTTTTTAGTGACAGTCGCCTTTCCCAGTGAAACTTGTCAACACTTTTGTTCACTTCCTATTAGTTATCGCACACTGATTCGGATAACCAAAAGCCCAAAGCTATAATTATAGTAACTCCGCATTAATCGTGGTTCTATCAAAAATTTTGTGGGGATAATGTCAATCTGTGACTGCAGTATTTTATTGTTCACATTCTCAGTCAAACTGAATTAGTTTTTTGAAAATTTCTAGTGCTGGGTTATTGCAAGGTGCTAGTTACTGCTTTAGCACTTCATTAGTTGACTATTTAGCTATAACTTAGATTCTTGAATGTTGATAAACTTCTGTAAATTATTTGAGAAATTTTTCACTACAGAAGATGGAGCGATATGTGTCTAAGAGGAATTTTTCCATTTTATTTGGCACGAGCTATGATCTCATAAGAATGATTTAATTTTATGTTTCGAAGAGCACTAAAAATACCAGCATTTTGGAATGTTGAATACCTGGAAGGTGGATGCACTTTTTTAATTGCTGCAACATTAAGCACACAATTCCTCTAGCAGTTTGAAGCTTCTTTAACAATATTTCAAATCTCAACTGTACATTTTGAAATAATTTCCAAAAAAAGTTAATTAAAAAATTGCAAATTATTTTCTTTACATGTATTAAAGTAATATTTGAAGATAACTGATAAGCTATTTCCTTTTTTTTTTTTTACTTTACTTAATAAATCATTAAAATGCAGTGGTGGAAAGGTTACAATGACGCATGTGAAGATAAGCCTCTGAAATCAATGAATTTGCATTTCTTCACACTGTCACACTTTGAAATACACAACTACTAATAAAACTTATATTATCAGAATCCTCCTTCATATTTTGCGCTTTCTCAAGCTTGTTTACCTCTTTCACTTTGAGAACGAAGTCGTGCTCTTTCTTATCGTGCAAGTTTACGGCTTCTAAATTTGTGAAAAGTAATTAAAAGTACTCTAAAACGAGTATCAGCAGGCAATGCTCAGAGAGAGAGAGAGAGAGAGAGAGATCAAAATGTTGGAAACCACAAGTAACGGAAAGGATTATTTGGTTGCTGGTCATTAAAGATGGGTAATTACTGAATGATATAGAGGTCATTATGGCATGTGATGTGATATTGTTATGCGGATGAAGAAAGGAGAGGACTGCATTAGTAATCATCATAGTCGGGAGTGGAGGTAATGTCGTTCAATTTGATGATATTATCAGCGACAGATATCATTTTTGAGGAGTTATTTGTCGTCAGTAGATATGTAACGATGACCTTGCATGTCCTCCTTGCTTTTACCTCTTTCACCATCTCACCCCTTAGTTTCGCCCCTTAGCCTTATTTGCACTTTTCGAATTTCATCTCCCCTTCTCCCGCAGTAAGTGGCAGCTTATCATCTCACTGCAAGAAACGCTACTATAAATTTGTATTCGTTACTTTGATCCGAAATAGTCAGGTTGACAGTGAAAATTGGTGAGTGGATGAAACCTGGCAGCTATAACATGCAGGGTAAAATGTCGAAGATGAAATTTTAACAAAAGATAAAGTACCAAATCCTTAGTGGAATGAGCAGTTTAATTTTAAAAAATAACATCGAAATATGTTTGAAAACATAGGATCGTTTATCAAAAACAATGAATAGAGAGGAATAAACAAGTCTCTTTCCGATATTTTCGTCTCCACATCTCATTCAACAGCAATGATGGTTTTTGTTCTCGAAGTCAAACTCGAGGTTGAAAGAATAAATTTTCAGAATACGAAGTGGCTTTTACTGGGAGAAAGAACAAATTAAAATGAAGCATGAATTATCGCAAAAATAGCAAAACGTGATTTTGGGATGGCTTAAAAGATGTTTTGGGGTGTTAGATATTCTGATCAAATTTTTGCGATCTATGGATCACGTATGCCATTTCCTCAATGGAATTACGTGATATGTTGCTCATGGAAGATACGAGTGCTGAAAGCGTTTTTATAACATAGTAGGAATCACTTCTTCTATTCACTGGTGAGAGGAGCCAGTCCAAAATCATTTCATTTCCAGCGTCTCCTCCCTCTCCCTCTCATATGTTCATCTCCTTTCGTTTTCCTGATGATAAGTCAGAAGTGAAACATATAATGTCAATATTTCATTAATTTACCCGCCTATCTTAATTACACGTCACATTAATCATACGAAAGGTCAATGTTGTACGATCCTTAACAATCTCACCATCTTCTGTTCTGGTCTTTAGAAATTTTGGATTAAGACCGAAGCGAAATGAAAATAATGCTGAAAAATGGTATGATTGCGGAGAGACAACACATTGGGTTCGTTTCACACAATTCTGGGTGGTTCTACCACATACCCTGTCATGCTATCATCAATGATCACATGAGATCGTTACGGGAACAAACACGTCATCGATAGCTCTCCGAACAATGATACGTCATCGTCGTCTTGCTCATCTTGCAGATAATAAATGAAAATTTTGTCCTTCCTAAATGTCCTAGGACATTGTACTATTTCCGCATAAAGTTATGATCACTCTATACTCTCTTGCTTTTCTTCATTTTCACCAAAACAGCTGAACTGTTGATCAAATTGATTAGACAGATTTTAGCTATCCACGCCAACATATTAAGCAATACAACACCATGTAGCACACACATTTCACAACTAACGGTAAACATCGCTATCAATTAGACCATGGCAAATCAGGTCAGACTTCTACATGTGGCATCGAGCCATTCTTTTGAATACTTGCCAGCCCACAGTGAATTATGAGCCATACTGTTGTAGCTCAGCAAAACATCTCATTTTTCAAGTACCTTCCAACTTTCCTTTACTAAATGATTAGTTTGCGTTACAATTTGCATGGTAAAATGACGCTTCTGGCTACGTAATGGTATGAGTACTTCTCATATTAATCTAAAAGTTTTAAATGCTCCCCCACTCAAGTTTCCGAGAATTTATAGTTTTGAAAGATCGAGTTGACGAACAGAATAGAAGGTATGCAACGGTGGTGGATCGAATGAGAGCCATCACGAGAACAACATTCAGTTTTCAGGAAAAACGGATTTTCTGGATCTCATTGAGGTTAGGTTTCAAAGTGCAAGAAATTGCCTTCTCAAATTTTTTTAATCTGAATTATGCAAACCATTTCGTAAGTAAAACATATAATGTAGGCTATTTGATGAGTGCAGTAATATCTGATGTAATTCATTCATCCATTAATTAATGAATACATTAATAGTACATAAGAAATCAGGTAAGAGTAGCGGGTAACGTTTTGTAGCTATAAGCACAATTAGTTGACGCAAGCCTTAACAGCTTCTGGACAGCGTCCGTCAGCTGGCAGTCTGTTTCATCCTGTTGCAATGACTTGAATCTGGTTAGTTTGTCTTCTATTTTAGCGAAGCTTAATTCATCACTTTCTGTCATGCTCCACAAAAAGTCAGTTAGCGTTTTTTGCTGAAACGAATCAAAATAAGAAGAAAAACAAATTGACAAACGGTTAACAAAAGAGTACCACTCTCTCTGCCAGACAGTGTGTATGCCTCACGCTTCACGTCTCCTATTTCCTATCCGTGAGAGTAATGCAAAAATTCTGTGTACCAGTCTCTTTCAAAATCGTAATCTGTGCTACATATCTTATATAGTCCAACTTCTGCATGCATTTTCACTTCGATTTCATCTTCATGAAAGTTTATGATGTCATAAAGGTGAATAATTTAATTGCATAAAAGATGGAAGTGGCCAAGAAACAACTAAGAATGCAGGATGAAGGACCATATGGAGAGAGATGAGTTCACTGTCACACCTAGATCATCATCATCATTATTACAATTTACTTCTCGAAGTGGTCTAATTCTATTAGTGACAAAAAGTGAATTCTACCTGCACAATTTTCCGCTTCAACGCCTCGATGATGCCTACTTGGGCCGTAAACTGTTCTTCAAGTTGTTCGCTGTACTCACGAATTTGCTCTAATTCCATCACTGTATCATTTCTTTCTTGGCTTTTTGATTCCAGTTTGGCCACATGACTCCTCAGCTTTGAAATTTCGTCTTCGTACTCGTGCGCCGTTTTCAAAGCGCAAGAAAGACGATAGCGATATTCTTCAAAACGTCGTTCCAAATCTGTCCTGAAATTAGAGAAATTGAGAATCTGTGAGTCAATATAGCACAATTGGCTCAATCCTTATAAAACATTAAAAAAAAAATGATAGTCTAAAATTTGGAGGATTTCCGATCAGCCTAGAATATATTGCAGGATAGTGAAGGAGATCCGATTGTCTACTACCTGCTGATAGTGCGAGTAACCTCTCAGTAGCCAGTAGTTATGTCAGTTGGAAAATAAGCAAATGTTAGGGATGCACAAAATATAAGGGTGCGCTTAACTTACTTTACTGTAGGCCTTATATCGTCCTTCAATTGCTCTATTTCATCCAGAGCAGCATTATGCTCCACCTGTAATCTAACATTCTCCTTTTCCAACAACTTCATTTCTTCTTCCTTCTTTGCCAGAATTTCCTTAAAGTCCGTTAAATATTTATATTTCTCACTTCCTCACAACAATGATTGAAAGAACGAACTGATGACAATTGTACATACAATTTACCTACCTCACAGTGATGTAAGGATTCTGTATACTTTTGTAACTGACAACATAGCTCATTATTTTCCTCCATACGGCACTGCATCTGAGTTTTCAGCTTAGCGATCCTACTTAAATAAATGCATCGGTAAGCAAAAGTGTATGCTTTTCAGATTACTCACTTATGCAAATTTTATAGGCTGCCCTATCATCGAAATGCTCGACGCTTAAATAAAAATTAGCCAAACCTTTCTTGTTCAGAACATTTATCGGCTTGCAGAACCAGCTGTTCGTCCTTCTGTTGCAAAAGATACCGCAACTTGCCCATTTCTTTTGACATCCGGTTCACTTCAGCATTCAGCTGAATAACTTTACCTCACTTTTTCTAAGCAACAACAATAATAAAACTAAAAATGAAAAATTTTTCTCATTTTGGAGTAGTTTAATGCAGCTCTAATAAATTATGAATTTGGCTTATCTGCTTAATAAAAAAAACATGTCAAAAAAACCATTTGCTTCTCTGAATCGAGTTCATGTTCTCGCTTACGCAAAGCATCTATTTCAATTTGCATATCCTGAAAACAGTGCCACAATTTACGACTGTATTTATTTTCGTCCTGTTCTTTCCACTTCTAGCTTAGGAAGCATAATCGACTTGATAAACAAAAAAGAACTTTTTATTAAAGGATCTTTTTTAATGTATTAGCAGCGGTAGGTGCTGAACTGATGAAACCGTTCTGCTCTCTGCTAAGTGTTCCAATAAAAAAAGAGCTAACATTATTCTTTTGTTTTGAGTATGACTGCTCGACTTCTTCCTCAACATTCTCTGTTTTTGTCGCACTTTCAAACTGATATATTCCCTGCTCTGTATCTATTTTGATATGCAACAATTGCTAAAATGGAATTTTGGAAGGTGCAAATGAGAAGAGCATCAGCGGCGAGGATGAAATAAATTATTGCTTCATTGCAAGTGTTTCATCAAAAAGTTGCCAGGAATATTTGAGAAATTTCTACAAATGAATTTGTACAACCTACATCTTCTAAATGTTCGATGTAGGTAAGCATTTGTTGGACGAGTTCTCTCTGTTTCATATCCAACGACGCTGATCGACGCAGATTGATCAATTCGCATTTCCGACTGCAAACTTCTCCAAAATCCTGCGAAAAAGCGAAAGTGTTGCACTGTGAAACAAATGAATTCTTACCATTCAAGTAATTTTTCTCTAAAATCTTACTGGTAAAGGTGGCATTTGACTAAGAAACGTGCATTCATCTTCTTCACTGATCCATGAATCAGTCATCGTATCCTTGCTTGCCAACTCTTTCAGTGTTTGCCGTTCCTAAATAAACTTCAATACAGAATCTCTTCGTAGTAGAACAATAATCATAGGCTTACGTCATCCCTTTTTCATTTTTACAGCATATTCAGATTAATCCACCATGCACATCCAAAATGAAAAACTCATTTAAATGGAACTGAAACGGAATGAATTAATAATCATATAATGGATCGGTTCTCGTATCTGAGCTGACAGAAGGGCAAGTGTAAGGACTTAGATAAGAAATCTGTAATTTGCACTTTTGAATTGTACTTTTCAAATTGCATTTTTCCATATTGTAAAAATTGCATACTTGTTGTCAGGTAGCAATCGCTGGCTGCAAATATTTAGGTTTTGGAATACCTAATTCCAATTACAAAAGAGTGAAAAAATTCTAGAATGTCAACTTCATGAATCTTCAGACAATAGTAATTGCTCACTGATTTGATATCATATCTATTGATGCTGGCCAGATCAGACCACTCTAAACAATCACCTGCAAAGCATTGTGACCCTGACTTCAGTGTATTCCGCATCATCTAGCCCGATTCATATTTTTCTATTTACCCACTATCATCGATCAAGTATTCGAGCAAGATTTAGAAGGCAATGCAATTAACATACCGATATGAATTTTAAAAAAGTACCAATGAACAAAAAGAAAAAGCGGTTTTGGAAATTCACACCTCAAATTCATGCTCCATGTTTTCTTTATTCTCTAGAATCTGAAATTCCAATAATTCGTTCATTTCCTTGGATTCGATCAATTCTGCTTCCATGCTTTCCATTTTGGAACGTTGCTCCATGATATGATCCTGCAGTCTAGCGATACTATCCAACAATTCCATCGTATTTTCCGACTAAACTAATAGTTATTTACAGGTTAACTGCATCCACATGGCACCTTGAATTCAATGATTTCCATATTATTTTGTCTGTTTTTATTTGCTCATTTTTGCGAGTAGATAGAGCTAATAGATTTCATAGCTCCCGTCCATTCGGCAATTTTCTTATTGGATATGGGTGTGAACAATGACGAG